CCAGGTATTCAAGCAGGCCGCTTCTTAATTTATCCCAATGATTTGTTATCGTACAAAAGCATGTACAATCGCTTATGAATATATTAAAAGTTTGCACAAATCTCCATCTACCTAAGGTCACACTTTTTCTCTTTGTAGATTTAGTTGTTTGAATCAGCATATCACTCATGATTTGACTGATTTAGCGGTAATTTCTGTCTGTGGTATTGAATGGTACAAATTTCATTACTGTAATTTAAGCTTCCTATAGAGTTTAGATATACATTACTAATGGATGTTAACAAAAACAAAGTTCCAGTAATATATCTGTCTACTGATTTAAACTGACTATTTAACACTTCTTCTTTCCATATAAAAACATTATTCCATACAGAAATTCATTGCAACACTTGAATGCCCTAATCAAGTGGAAACAAACCAAAAGCAAATAAAATATTTAGTTGATTTTACTATTTTTTTGGTGATATAATGAGAACTTTGATAACCACTAGATGAAAAATGAAATTAAGATGATAAGATAAGAACACTAATAGGTCTCTTTATGGTGAGTAGTCTCACCTTATCTAATCATTTATGCTGATGGAATTCACTCAACCAAGTTTCGTTGATCACCGACAACATTGTGGCTCACTTTCATTAATGATGACTAGTTGTAGACTAATAGTCACAATGAAACTTGTTCGACAAAATTCTATCAACCTTAAGGACAGCACGGAATTATACTAATTACTACTTTGTGATCGAGTTATGTAAACACTTCGGTTCCTTAGCAAAGTAGTCACACCCCGGATGTCTCGTCAAGATGTGACTAGGAATAACATAAGTTGAGTTCCCTAGAACGACATCAATTCTCTTGATAGTGTTGTCAGAAACATATACTAATATGATAACAAACACATAATGTATTTAATCACTATTGACAAATCTAATTAAAAGAAACAGAGATCCTGTAGACATTTGATAAATGATTTCATAACAAATTTCAAAATAAATTTGCTTTTTCAAAGCCAAAAAAATTATAAGTTGGAAAACTTCGAGGAAATTATCACAAATGTAGGTTCCCTGGTTTCGAACTATACATATATATAATCTAATTCAGAAGTTTATTTACGATATCCAAATAGATCTATATTTACACATCCAGCAAATACTGCTTGATATAAAAGCCAGACACATTAAATTCATTGTTATACTTATGTTTCTTTTATTTACATTTTTCCGTTTAATTAGTATCCACACTCAATGAAACGCGAAAATGCAATTTTTGTCATTTAAACGCAAACTGATAAAGAATTTGCGGTTAATGATCTATGTAGCTTCCCTAATAGTTGTTGAAATCTAACGATCCATATGATAATACGGATATTATCTTAGATGCTATATACTTGAATTTTAATTAGGTGAAACTTGAAAAATTATTTTGTCGTAATGTCGATTGCAATAGACTTCGGTAACCTGCTTGCAAAATCCGTTACATATTTTAGGCCAGTAATAATAATATGTCAACGGATTATCTTGATAAAATTGATATCGATAATAAAAGTCCTGTGATAACACTTGTGATTTTAAAATTCCGTGTTGCCTGTCATCGTTATGTTTGCTCAATGCTTGACTGACTTGTGTTTGGTACTGAAATCCAGAAGTTGACGACGCATAGCGGGGAAACAAAGAGTGACAGTACAGATTTGTTTTACCCCAGTAGTAAATCCATAATACCAGCCTTTGTGTTTTCACAATTCGTCGTCAACCTCGGGGTTTCAATGCAAAGCACAAGTCATTTAAGCATTCAGAAAACATGACTCTGACAGACATAACATTTCTTATCTTATAAGTTGTTTAAATGTGACATTCCTCTTTTCAACGGCGTGAAAACAGGTAATCTTTTTAGTTCTATGTATGGCTTATAAGTACTGTAATTCAGGGATTCTTACAAATTGGGAGTTCCAATCGCCTTCTGTTACTTCAGCCTTTTAGAACCTTGTTGTGTTATATCCATTTAGTGATTGATTAAAATGTAATGAGCTCAAGTGTATTTAATGTATATTTCCCTAATGACTACTTCACATAAGCTTACTTCCTTTTAGTTCATTCAAATTGTTCAGGTTAATCTTCGTCTAGTTTCTTCACAAATCAGCTTTTTTGAATTGAAATCATTTTATTAATCTGTGGATAAATATGACCGAATGCATGGTGTTATTCAACTAAGTAAATGAATATCTGTTAGTACGGAAACATTTTTTAATGGACTCATTTTACTTAATTTTTATTATTATGCTAGCACAAAATAAACTAGAAATATACTGTTTGTTGTGACTTTATAAAAGGCCTTCGCCAATTTCTTATGAATTTGTAAAAGAATAGGACGTATGATAATTTGTTATTGATTTTTATGTCCGGTTTTTATTACGTAAACTATCCACCAATCGAAATACGACTTGTCTAATCTCAATACTGTGCCAATCAATGACGTTCGACCAATATGAGTAGTCTAGCGTCCTTATTGGTCCCTTGTCCGCCTAGCCCCTCCAATTGAGTCCAGAACACCAATTGCAGTTTCTGCTATACGAATCTATGCGAATTATTTATTTCAAGCATACTCTGTTTATATACCAGACAGACAGACCGCATCACACCATAAAATAGAGAATAATATTAATCAATAGACTGAGTATAATTTAAGAATAGTAATTCGTACAGTAATAGTTCATAGGTCAAAATGAAGCTTATAATAAGATGAATATAGATATACACAATCTAGTTACTTAAGAGTTAAACAATAAGAATAAATGTAGAATAACAGTCCATTAACAGGTTCCGGAATTTACCCGTACTCATGTCTTCTCTAGGATATAATACTGTTACACTAAGAAGGCTCAATTCAAATTTTAATGTTGGTTTGTATTAAGAGATCATATAAATATGTTGTCCTTTTTTGTCAACAAATATCCTAACATTATTAAATTAGCTCATTATCAGATTGTTAACATTACTACCATTTCTCTTACAATTAATTAACAACAGATGAAAATATTAAATAGATGCTTCTTTCACTTCAAGAGTTTTTCAACTGTTATAACTCATTATACATTTTTAATATGTAATTCGTTTAATAATGTTAAGTAAATGCAAATAAACATTTATTAATCTAGATCAAGTTCATCAAAGAAATAATGTCAACCGGTTAATAATGAAAAAACAACAAGCATTTATCATACATATCTTGGATTATCATCACGTAATGTTCAATATCAACCCAAGCAGTTATGATTGATGCTCATTTAACTAGTGTGTACATTTATTTTATTAATGAATTGAACATTAATCGTAATATTCCATACGTTAAATGGTTTCAAGGGTAGACAAATGTAACACAGTATCTATCCAGAACTTGATAATAACTAATAATCTTTTATAATGCCAATATCTATCAATATATTACATAAAAGTTCAGCAGTTTTGAACTTATCTAATATTGAAAAAAATGGTAAAGGTAATCCTATAGAATAATAATGAATCAATGATATACTGTGGTATATCATATATACTGTGGTCATATTACCTCAGTAATTCATTGCTACATGAAAACATTAATAGAATAATTATGACATCTTTAAATATTTAAAGGATTTAACAGCAGGCAGTAATAGATAGTTATTTTAGACCCACTTAAAACTTTCCTTTAGTCAAAATCAACGATTCTCCAAAAAGCAGATTCCAACTATACATACCCCGAAAAAAGATTATTAGATTTCATGGAGAGCACTGAAATCTACTAGTCGGTATTTCGAACTCGGTCGGTTTGTGATACACCATAAATCTCAGCTAGTATTATCGATGAGTTTCTGTGAACCTATCAATTTGATTGACTCTACAGTTCATTGTCTAGTACTAGAGCTTCAGAAGTAAAAATTGTTCAGTTGTTCCTAGTTTTCATTGTTTCTTTATTTGATGCCATTTCTCAATGAAAATTTTCTTCAAGCTGTACTAAATATTTATAAAGTTTCCTTTTTAAAAACCATCCATATATATATATATATATATATATATATATATATAATGTGAAGCTCACTTTTGTGATATCTCGAAGGAACGATACATATCAATCAATCTTTACACATTCAATCAACACATGCTCTTCAGTTTATGTTTCATGTTACTTTTCCAGACTCGTTGATACTCCTAAATGGTTTTAGCTATCTGTGACCCATGGATATGACCAATTTTCGAATATATCAATATCACCCCTACCGAACTCCAAAAAAAGAATACAGTGAACTAATGTCGCATCATTTGTCTCCACTCACTGAACTAAATATTGATTGTCAAAATATAACTAAATTCATTTTCTGGTAACTCAGACCTTTTCTTATCATCTGAGCAATAAAATGTTATATAATTGAAATACTTGATGAAAAGAATAACTAGCATGTCTTAGCATAAAGTAAACAGTGTTAAAATTAAGCATTGAGCTTTCAGTAAACTAAAGAAAATCAGTTTCTAAAGTCTCAACACTTAAAATTTTGGTAAAGTAAATTATTTGTCATACTCCACCGATTAGCCTAAAATGGTATTTATTTACTTGTGAATTAAATGAGGAGAAGTTTAAAAGCGACATTACTTTCTAAACCAAACAAGAATTCGTATACTTACTAGACATGACACACAAGATAAATCAAACTGACAATGCCTTAAGAAGTTAGAATAACTCAAATATTTTAACTATACCTTAGATACATTTATTCAACTTTTTCTATTAATTAATTGAAAACCTTATTTTTTGCCACTACTGAACAGATCAGTTTTCCTTTTTATTGTTAAAGAAATGTAGCAATTACAATTAATACTTTTCTAGAAGCTTTGTGTTAATTCAGTCATAAGGAGCAGATACTAAACTTTTTTGTATCTCAAGTGGTTTTAATGTTATTTGTAAAACTTTGTTTTCAATAACCTGGATTTATATTTATCTCCTTTTTACACATTTTATTTATTTTGCTAAACAGGTTTTCAATCGACTTAATCTCTGATTATTTAGCTTTTGATCCGACTATACTCAGTGAACAAGATAGAACTGATGAATGTGAACTGCCAATTGTTGAAACACAACCATTGCAAATATTAATAGAAACAACCGGTAGCTGGGATATTAATGCTAATTCACCAGAGACTAGTACATCATCACATGGTAGTTCAGCGAAACGATTTGGTTTTCGTGCTAATGAAAATTTTGTGTGCAGAGTTGTCATTAAAACTGAATATTATGTTGTAAGTGTCTTTCTCACGCAGTTTACTTTCCATACAACTTTTATTTTACATGACATCACAAATGCGTGCTATACTTCTTCTTCTACTCAATATAGATCATGTATTTTGGGTAGTGTATATCAGTTACTTCCGAAACTTACATTTAACTCTACCTGTAAATCTTTTTCTGATTTCGCTTGTAATGCAATACTGGTGTTCGTACTGGACTCAAAATAGCACACATCTTCCAAAGAGCTAATATTATCTACAAAGATATTGAAACAACGGAATTACCAACTTATTCAGAGGTTTTAGTATTTATTATTCGTTGTATGTGTTTGTTATTGTCTGTTGGCTCGTAATTGGTACTAAAAATAAACCCGAAATTCGATGACTCCTGGTGAAAACACAAAAACTGCTGATATGGATTCACCTGACCCTGGATATAAGTCAGAATGATATGTGAATACACCACTTTTATATGATTTATTTACCGTCAGGTTAGAAGTCAGATTTGCGTAGTTTAAACTGAGTAGTATTTAATATCCATTAATCACTAACTTTACGTATGCACGCATATTTACGATATCATACAACTAAGTGTCTATAAATCATATCATTACTACTTCTCAGAATGTGAATACATGTTACAGACAATTGAATATTCAGGGTTAATTATACTTTGAATGGTGGATAAAAATAAAGTCCAAAATGAAGGTACATTCAGCCGATGGGTCTCACATAGGAAGAAACATACGTTATGTATTCTTCTGATAAAAAATTCCCGAAAAATTATAAATCTGTAAGCCCAAATGACATGCAGACATCTATTTAAGGAACCTGTTTAACAAAAGAGAGTGATGATTCCTTTTCTGAGTATCAACAGTGTGAAAATAAAAGCCTTTGTAATTAATAGTAAATAAAAGCGTACCTGATGAACCATCTTCTCTGTATTTTATTTACATAATATTATGTAAAATCAGTTAACCACATTTAAACTATTCAAAAAGTCATTAATTCATTGGAGGGAACTAATTCCGGTACATGAGTGAACATTCTGGAAAGTGTTCAACTGATAATCTTTGTTATTTTGAACCGACCAGAAAAAACTGTCATATATTTTGAAAATAGCTCACGTACCAATCACGGTCAGTGTATATTGCTGACACCAGTGTAGAAACCATGTATAGTAGTTGTTTGATGAAGTGGTTACATTCTGTTTGATAAGCTAATTGTTTGTGAGGATTTAATTCACTGTGGAGTTGTGAATACACAATGCTAAAGAGTCCCAGAGTTAATTGGAACGTCTATTGACCATTTCTTGGTTATCAATAGTTCCACAACTATTATCAGCATGTGAATAAAACTATCTTCAAATAAAAGGAATCTTCGCAAATCAACCAACTGAACTGTAATACTTGTTAGAACAATTATAATGAGTTGCATCCATAAAACTGACTACACAATAATAGTAGTTACAATATCAATGTAGCGTTTACATGAAAGGAGGCTAAGGCTACTTCTATAATAACGAGTTAGATAAAATTTTATGTGTGATCACTTATGACAAATATTCAGTTTTCTTCCAACTCCAGATATCAACCATTGCTATATTCGTAAAATGTTGGGAACTTATATTGTTTTCTATCTTTAATTTTTCTTGTTTTCAGGTTTATTTAAACGATATGATGTTGTCGAACTCTGAACACTTAGTTCCTGTAGGCTCTATTAATGGCTTTGCAATCGATGGTGACTCTGACATTTCAACTATACTATTTGGTGACTTAAATGCCATTGAAAAATATAATTCTAAACATATTGCACAACATATTCAATCAAACAATCCAAAAATTATTGAATGTCGACTAACATCTGATGATTTATTAGCTACTGTTTTATTAAATGATAGTGAAGAACATTCAAAAACTTATGATGACTTCAGTGATAACCATATTGAGAATAATAATATCACTGATATTGAACATAAGACCAACCAAGATCATATTTCCAATGGGGAATTTACAGTTACAGAAAATTACTTAGATAGAGAAAAAACATTGGAAGGTACATGTACACAGAATTTAAAAACAGGAAATACCGGTTTTTTGTGCAATACATCAAATTTACTTCACCCTAACAGTGAATTCACAAATCAATGTCATGACAATAATGCAAACAATTTTGTAATTAGTAATAACAATCAAAAGTTAAGCAATTCTAGCAAACTAATTAGAGCTTCATCATATCAATTAGTATTTGATGTAGATAGTGATTCAACTGAAGAAATAGACCGGAATGACGAAGTACATGAAACATCAATAAAAACTATTAATCTGTCTTTATTCAATCAGACAAGAGCTAAAAGTATTCAAAATCTATTTCATTTTCATCATAATTATTATGATAATTTTGATCATATAAATAAATTTATTCATGAATCACATCAATTAATATCCGAAGATGAAGGCAATAACATTGATCGTTTAAAAGATACAATAAATTTCTCAATGCATAATTTAATATGTGAGAACAAATTACTAGAATCTAAAGAGTTTAATGAAGTAAGTGACTCAAATCAATTATCTGGGAAATTTTCAACATCACAACTATTAGAACTGGTAAGAGAAGAGTTTGAATTAGATCAAAATAATGAAGACAATGTAGAAAATATTCAAACTAATAAGAGTAAATTAAAACAAGAGAATTCGGCTGTTAAAAATACGAATGGAGTATCTTGTCATATGGATTCCTTGTCCAATGATGTTAAATCGATAAATAATTTAACAGAAGATGGATCAGAACTAACTGAAAGTACAATGTTGAATAGTGAAAAAATAAATGTATTAAGCAATCGAACAAGCGAAACTATGAATTCATTAGATAATCAAGATGATGAAGGAAATATTATGCTAAAAGAATGTGAGTCAAAAATACCGGTATTCAGAAATAGTTTATCCAATAAACATACACCAAATTTAATAACTAATGGATCACAAGAAATCAAATTTAAACCTTTAAAATCAGCCCGTAAAGGCAGTTTTCATCCACGCGATACTGATTCAAATCCAGATGACTGTTTAGTTCTATCCTGCTCAGACAAGCAAGGACTAATCCATTCTAGAATTCCACAACCTTTATGTTCAATATCTCATAGTAATAGCAATAATAATACAGATCATTCACATAAGCAGTTGAATGAAAATGATAGTCAACAATTACCGATATATGAATCGTCGATAAAATCTGATTCCCACAAATATCCATCCAATAAGCAGTCTATTAATGGTATGTCGAAAACAGAAGTTCGAAATGATTCAATTGCGAAGGTTAATACCAATAAAAATGTAATTAATCGAAATCCATTAAAATCAAGTCGATCTGTTAATAATCGAAAATCTTATCCATTATTAAGTAATGATATGAAATCACTTAGTAACCCGGTGAAAAACGGCACTGATTCTGTAAAAGCATCATTGGATAAATCACCGAAAAATTTCACATCGTCATCATCATCATCTTTGTCATCCCCATCATCACAACCATCAACAACATCGTCCTCTTTATCATCCTTGTCAACAAAGCTATTCTCCAATTCCGTTGCGAAACCGCTATTACGTTCAAATGGATTAAAAAGTAAAAGACAGAAACTTATTGAAACTAATAACAAATCCCCAAATAATAATACAAACAGTCGACAACAAGAAAGATTAATGAATGGAAATCTCGCCAAAAGCAATTCAACAACAAAATTTAAGTCTACAAATGACATATCACTGAATTCAATTTCAACTGATGGAAAACAGAAAGATTATTTGAATGCATTCAACCAATCAATAAGTCAACAGTGTAAGTTAATTAACCAAGTCAATTCAACAACCACAAAATTCAAGGAAAGAGATCAGTCAGTACTATCTAACGGACTACACAATAATAATAATCCTTGTGTACCCTGTTTAAATGATAAAGAAGCGATAAATTGTACACAACCATTATGTGAAAACAAACATATTTTAAACAATGTAAGTAATAATTCTATTACTACTACTAATAATAATAAAATGGACATATCTAGAGATTGCATAAAACAAGAAAAAGAATTACACAATGGATATTTAACTTTGAATGATCAGTCCAATGCAAATCACAATCATGATTCTAGAAATGATATAAAAAAGCATTTAAATGGTAATATGATGACGATGAAATCGAAATTAACAGGGACTAATGAAATAAACAATTCGAATAATTTACAGCCTATTCAAAACAATTATACAGACAACATTGGTGTTCATATTCATGATGAGATAACGTTAAATGTGAAAGAAAATAATGATAATTATTTAACTGCATCAACACTATCATGTACACAGTCAATGATCAATCCAATCACAAACACGTCAGAAATATCTAAGACACCAACAATATTGACCGAATCAACAACAAATGGTGGTTTATGCTGTGAGAAAAATAGAAATTCTAAAAAATTTATACAATCCCCTAAAAAATGGTTAACCCGTAAGTTATCCATGATAAAAAAAAGTCATTGAAGTAGAAAATAATTTATGTGTACACAGTACTTCAGTATCAAGTTGATTGCAATATATACAAAACCGGTACACGTTTACTTACACGTTAAATAAACAGTTTATATTTGATAACTGCTTACTAATGATTGATTATTTATCTATGACAGTTAATTACAGGTTAAATGTGATATATACACAATTATTTATAGCAAGTCTTTCATTTCAATAACTGGTTCATTGCATGAGAACCTTCTCTTTGCTGTTGAATCATATTCATGTCGAAAAATTTCATATGATATTAGAATTCAGAGAACAAACTGCACACAGTGCAAAAGTATAAACATTTTATTGCTGAAAACTTTTATTACTCAGCATGCCATTGACCATTTTTGTTTATTTTAATATGAAAATAGTAAAACGAGTATAATAAAACTCATAATGATCAATAAATCTGTCTTAAGTATTATTTGGGTGCAAAGTTGAAAAGAATGACATTTAATTGAGAGCCTAAGTGTGTGGAAATAAGATATTGTAAATATCATTGCAGTGTGTATGAGTGTTTACGAATATATCTAGATTGAGTGAATTCTCAGACCTATGCAAATGCTTAACAGCAATCAAATTTTAAGCTTAAAACTACACACTTCAATCTGAATATTGAACTGTTGGATAAAATAAGTAGGGAATCCTGTCTTGACCTGAATTCTAAGTCGAAAACTTTATTAGATGGATACTTAATTTCTTATTCCAAACTGTTTGCCCTAACACTACAACCACAAAAAATGTAACCTGATTTGTTTTGGAAAATAAGTAATATTGTTTGAATCACTACTTATGGGCCGATTACTAGGAGTATTTAGTAGTTAAGGCATTCGACTTTGAGCTACTAAGCCTGTTTTGAACCCAGCTCCTCCTGCTTTGATTTGGGCAACTGGGTGGTATCATCAGCCTTCACATATGGTGTGACGTATGGCCAAGAAACTGGTGAATTAATGTGTTTTAATATTTTATTTAGCTTAATTCAGTTTAGATGACTGACATTCGTACTTTTTATACCAATGCTAAATATTTCTGGTACAAATCTCTGGATGAGAAGTTTTCCTATAATTGTAGGGGTAGCTAATTTATAATTAACAACAGGTGGAAAGTCTAATTTAGATGCTGTGTTCCCTACGTCTTATTTCCGCTTGCTCAACAATAAACAAATTATGCAATTGCATTGAATAGCTGTATGCTTCATACTTCCATTCTCACCTTCATCGATAAAATTAAATTAGCACTAGGAAGTTATACGTAGAAGTTATTATTATCTCGATTATTTAACAGAAGCATTTGCTTGACAAATACATTTGTTTTTATGCTTCTTACTTAAAAATATACATTTCATCAGCTAGAAAATTGCAAGATTTAGCAGTAAGCCCAAGAAAATTACATTCGTAGGAAGCATTGGGGCTCGAATTTTATGCATCTGAGTATCGACCAACTGTCAACTTAATTGAAGAGAACTATAGTTTTTGGTCGATTAACTTTTAAGAGACTCCCAAACTTTGAAGATAACGACTACTTTACCTAAACATTTATTGTGGTTTAGAAAATAAATGTAGCCTATGTCATTCACATCCTCACAACCTGTGATCAGTAAATTTTCAAAAAATTGAATAAAAACTAACAACACCTACAATAAATTCTATATGAGAAAATATCAAGTTTACAACATCAACATAATAATACATTATTTATTCTTTCATTCACTTATTTTTTTCTTCTGTTTACTATGACAGCACAAACAAGTCTACAGAGAGAAAACAAACAAACAATATAAATATTAGAAGCGCTCTCTTTTTTGTACAAAAGAGTATATATTATTTTTTAAGAAAAAAAGTTGATGACAGCGACACAAAAACAAAGAACAAAAAAGTGTCAATCAATAAATAAATAAATCAAAATTCAGAAATACTTCAATAAGAATCATCTAACAAGTCAGAATAAATAAAACCATTTATGATATTGAAACTTTCAATACGAAATTTATTTTATATATATTTTTTACCATACGTTGACAATACTACTAATACTGCTACTCCTACTACTACTACTAATAATAATAATATGAAATTTGTAAATTGTCACTATTTTTTTTAAAATGATAAACAAAACTTTATTTCACACACTAATCTTTCATTCCTTTAATTTTATATTTTATTAATGAAACAAACTAGTAGAGAAAAAGGAATACTACTAATAATAAAAATAATGTATTTAAACAAACCCATGAATTTATAATCTTCACTTTGTATTTTATAGTTGACATTTTTAAAAAAAAAGGCAAATTTCTTTTTTGATACATATTTTTATATTGAGTTTAAAATTGAATTATCTAAATATTAAACCAGGAACCATATATGGCTATATATATATATATATATATATATATATATATATATATATATATGGTTGTTGTGAATATCTACCAGGTATTCAGGAGACTTGATTAACTTTGTTCAATATTCAGTTAGTTTTACATTTTGATTTGTAAGTATAATACAAAAGGAATGTAAAAATTTTCTTTTTTACTACTTACTAAATTTAGACCTAACAGAAATTATCTTTAACATGATAAATGTTACAAATATTCAGCTTTATATTGTTTGTGAATAAAAGTTTATTCATAATTATTTCTTTATTATTAGTGCTAATTCTTAAATTAAAAAAAAGTTAAGAGATACTTCTTTTTAAAATAAGTTCACCTTTGATAGAAGGAAGTATGAGTCCCACTCCATCTACTTCCGTCTTGGTAATCGGGTAATATCATCACTAGGCTTTACACATAAATTGTAGCTCAACGTTGAGTACGTGAATCTGTACCGGACAACTTAAATCGTCAACTTTTATTCACTAGTTCTCGTTTCATTAAAATTGATACATAAGCATTTCATTTGAATGGCGATACATTACTCTTTTATAATGCTCATACAATTTACTCAAAATACAAAACATGCAACTTACATGTAAAGGATCATTATCATTACCCTAATCAGTAATATGAATGACTCATTGGTGAAAGTTTTGAATATAACAGATACCAGCATAGGGTTGGAGTTATGGAGATGCCCTCTCTAAACAACGTGTTTTCCCAACAAGCCATCTATCATAGGTCCTAAACATGTCATATGACCGGCCTTCTCTACATTGACAGCTTTTAGCTTACAATGACAACTAACACTCCATTATTAAACTGTCTGGCTTTAATATTCCAGTGAGCAGTTATTTCAATAAATTGGAGATGACACTGACAACTTAATATTGTGAAGTGTTGTTAAAAATAAAGTTGAACACCATTTCGCTCGTAAGCAACCTAAGAACCAACTTAAATCACTACCGTATTCAATCATCTTCATGGATTATGTCAACCTATTTTTTGTAAATCCAAACGATGTATACTATATAGGTTCATTAATATTCATCCCTTATTACGCTTTCTAGTTGTTACTCATTGTATAGTGAATTTCGACAAAAATACAACTTTTCCTATTACAAAATGTAGATCACTGGATTCCAGCTACATAATCTCACTATACTCATCAAGAGTCCCATATCATTAGCGATTATGGTAGTTCAAGAGGATATCACATTTACCCCAAAGTTGTCTGAACTTAGATGATAAAGTATTTCCATTTTTCTCTTTTTTGCTGTGGCAGACAGATGCCATCTCCTAACGATGAATATAAGAATTCCGACTCAATTCCAATATCCAAACAGAACAGAAAGTTAACAGGTGGAAAATTGATCATCAGTGACTACATAATAAATTAGAATGGATTTAGTTTATTGGTACGACTGACAAGTAAGGATCAACAACCAGTGTTGGTAACCAACAAAACCCTTCATTTTACAACTGCTTGTGTTTAAACTGACATCTGGACAATATGTTCAGCAAATTGTCGAACTTTAACTGATCAGTAAGAAGTCATTTCGCAGCTTTTTTAGTAGGCATGTTCGGAAGATAAGGTAATCTTTATTTACTTCCGTCACCATTAAGTTCTTTAAAATGAATTTATTTCCTACAAAGAGATTCCCATAGACGCGAACTACCTAGATGCCATCCTGGTGTTTGGCGAACACACCGGTACATGGTTTTCCCAACAACTACAGTAAAAATATGTACTCAAAGTGTTTAGAATTTATAACTGTGTCATTTACGACTGTTTCTAGCCAACTTCATATAGAAACAACAAGTAATGCCCTACAGTGAATTTAAATACTAAATACAACGAACTTTGAGCGACTTCACCACTAAGCAAAAGTTGCTAACCACTTATTTCACCCAGTATTTAAAGTAAAGATGTTTTTACAGTTCTTTTGACTAACAACTAAGATCTAAATGGGGAGAAGTGGCTTGAACTAAAAATAATCGGAATGGAGAGTGCCATACAGTCCTCTAGAATTCCTAAATTTTGTATCAGGAACACTGAACTACAAAAAATGGACGAGTCGAATAACAGTGACAAAAAAGCTGGAAAGACTATGAGAAACATCCTACAAAGTTATCCCTTTTGCATTCTTCACTGTAGGTTAATGGTTAGAATTCTTTTAACTCAATGCATGAAGACAAAGGTTTAACTGGTTATTTTTTCGGGAAAACTACTTAATATAATATCGTACGACTGAAAAAGCTTTCAACACATCGCGCTCATCTCGGAAATATATATATATGATCTCCGTACTATCCCACTAAACAGGATTCGGGGTGAACTGTTTCGTAATAAGATCTATTTGAATCAATCCCATTTAAAGAAAAATATGCACCAACAATGCGTGTAATACCACCAGTCATATATCAAGAGATTTGAGATGAAGGGTTTACGGATAGTTTGCACTCAGATCATACAACTTTCCCAATACAATACATAACGACCCTTAATTTCCCGTATAGCTCTTCTAGGGTTACTGTTAGTCCGAAGCCCCGGTTAAGGAGGAAGGTTGAGTATGAGGTCAGCAACCCCATTATGTAGAAAACGATCTTGCTAAAAAGCATTGGACAGAATAAACAATTTAAACTCTGCCCTCCGAGTTGAAGATAGAATTATGACGCCTCGTGATGAAAACCGAGATTCTTCGGAAATCACGAGGCCCATCCCCATTTTAACAACTAGAGCAACAATTAATATAGGCACATGGAATGTTCGGATGATGTGAAAGACAGTGAGAACCAATCAAACAGCTGCGGACATGAGATACAACTCGATGGTGCTCGGAACAGGTGAAATACATTGGACACGAGTGGGATAGCAAAGGCTAGATACGGGAGAGATGCTACAGTACTCTGGTCACGAAGAAGAAAACGCTCCACATACGAAGAGGGTTGCTCTATTGCTATCCAGAGAAGCACGAAATGCATTTCTAGGATGGGAAACCAATTGATCCAGAATCAAAGCATCATTTAAAGCAAAGAAGGCAATCACAATGAATATTATCCAATGTTATGCACCCACCTATGATAGCAATGACGACGATAAAGATCAGTTTGACGAGAGACTGCAATCGATCGTAATGATGTAGTTAGGAAAGGAATGGACCATCCTGATGGGAGACCTACACGCCAATGTCGGTTAAGAGAACACCGAATATGAGGACATTATGGGATGACATGGACAGGGATAAAGGAACGAGAATGGCTTGAAATTCGCAAATTTACGTGTTTTTAACATTATAAGTGGCACAACAGCCCCTTCACAAACGCATACACAAATCTAAATGGCTCTCAATGGACCACATCGGATTACACCACAGAGAACCAGATAGATCATATTTGTATCAACAAAAAATTCAGAAGAACAGTGGAAGATGTGAGAACCAGGAGACGAACTGACAGCTTCAGATCACCACCTGGTTGTGGCCAAGATGAAACTGAAGCTAAAAAACACTGGTCAACTGGGGAAACAGAAATATGAAGGTTCAATACAGCCTTTCTTCGAGATACTGGAAGCACGGAATACAATGGACATTTCAGAATCAATTCGACGGTTTAAACTTCACAGATGACCTAGCCCTCCTATCGCACACACACGAACAAATACAGACGAAGACAACAAATGTAACAGCAGCCTCTGAATCAGTAAACCTCAGATACAACACGGAGAACACCAACCCAGTCACACTTGATGGAGAAAATCTAGAAGATGTAGAAACATTCACGTACCTGGGAGGCATCATCGATGAGTAAGAAAGATCTGATGCAGACGTAAAGGTAAGGATTGGCAAAGCAAGGGCAGCATTTCTACAACTGAAGAACATATGGGACTAAAAACAACCATCAATCAAAATTAGAATCTTTGATATGAACGTCAAGACAGTTCTACTGTACGGAGCTGGGACTTGGAAAACCACTACAACCACCATCAAAAGTGTACAAGTATTTATAAACAGCTGTCTATGTAAGATACCCAGTATTCATCGGCCTGATACAATCAGCAATAGCCTTTTGTGGGAGAGGACAAACTATCTTCCAACTGAAGATGAAATTAGGGAAAGACGTTGGAAGTGGATAGAACACATATTGAAGAAATCACTAAACTGTATCACGAAGCAAGCACTAACTTGGAATCCTGAAGAGAAACATGGAAGTGGAAGACCAAAGAACACAATACGCTGAGAATTGTAATCAGACATCAAAAGGATGAATAGTAAATGGGAAGGATTGCCTGGGACAGAGTTGGATGGAGAATGCTGGTGGGCGGCCTATGCTCCTTTATGAGGGATAACAGGTCTAAGTAATTACCTAACGGTCCTTAAGAAACCGGTTAT